GGGGTGGGTACTCGGTCCCACGGAGCAGCTCACGCCTGCTGGCTGCTCAGCTCCACCCCGGGCAGGCTGCTGTGCATGGGCTCGGCCACGCCGCCCGCCACCCCGAACCGCTCCCCGTCCTCGCTGTCCAGTGCGCTGCTCTGCCACTCCATCTGCTGACGGGACAAGCTCTCCTCCATCTCGGATGAGTTCTTCCACTGTGACTGGTCCTTAGACCAAAACTCTTCTACTTTTCCATAGGAACGATTCTTCCACTTGGACTGTTCTTCATCGCTTTCCGACCCACCCTCCTTGGCCTCCACAGGGGGTTTACTGCTCCCAGCGTCTTCGCTTTGGGAGGATTCATCTGTCCACACTTCCGGTTTTACTTCCAGCGCGTTATCTTCGAAATCCGAGCCCTGCTGGGACCCAGGCCCGCTCTCGGACTGGGAATTGGCGTCTTTCCACTCCACAGCATCGTCCTGGTCGTCCTGGTCACCGTCGCTGTCTGAAACGTCACCTACCAGCTTTGCTGGCTCTTCAGCAGAAATAATCTCTTCATATTTAGAGCTCTCCTCTTGCTTTTGTTCGGACTTCTCTGGAGACTCTAACGTGTTTTCCTCCTTGGTCTCCTTGGCTGTGCTGTCCTCGGGGTTCTCCGCTGCGCCGTCGGCCGAGGGTTTCCCGCCGAGCTCAGCGACGCGCTGGCCAAAGGGGCTGCTGCTCTCGTTGTACTCCTCTTCTACGTTCTCATAGCTGTCTGAGGAACTCTCATTGTCCTTTTCTAAGCTGATTTTTTTGTCAACAGTCTTACTGGCATTGACTCTGGAATTCTTTTCATCGTGGTTTTCAAACAGCCACTCGGCATCGAAATCCATCTCGTGTTTGACTTTGTTCAGTTCTTTCATGTTGAAGCCGAGCAGCACGCCGGGTTTGTACTTTTCACAATCCCTGACACATTTCTTCCTTTTGTTACTGAAGTGAGACGCAATATCAGACTTCCAGAGCCACAAGCTGGCCGCCAGCTTCTCGATCTCCCTCCTGGTGGGATAGGGCTGTTTGTTGAAGTATTTCGTAAGAAACGTTTTCCTGGCTTCGTAAGAATCGTCCTCGTGACCCTTGGGGTCCAGTGCTAGAACTACAGGTTCTTCAGGCTTCTCCTCGAAGGCAGAGGGGGAGTCGTCGTCGTCCAGTTTCCTTTTCTTCATCAGGGGGAAGTCCACGTGCTCGTAGGCGCGTTTAAGCGGCGCGGCGGCCGCGGCCTGGCCC